CCCCAAAACCCCAAAACCCCAAAACCCCATCCCTTATAATCTCATTGAAAAATGCCAAAACCCCCATTCCTCCAACCCCACTCCTCCTATCTCCTTCACCTCTTATTCCTGCTCTTATTAATCCCAAAATCCCTTCTGTCCCAGCCGCAGACAAGTAAAATCTCTTATAAAACTAGTGACTGAAGACAGTGCTTGGAAGCAAGCAGTCAGTGGTGAAGACCTAATTTTGAGCATTCTTACGGCAGATGATGTATCGATGGTGAATGAGATCAGAGAGGGTTTGAGTGAACGGAGAGAGAGGTTAGGATGGAAGATTACCTCCTCTGCCCTACTGATTTTGATAGTTGAGGTACCCAAATCAAATGGACTAATGGAGAAGTAGCAGAGTACGTATTTCAAGTAGGAAAAATACCTCTCGATAGTCTTTGTTGGTATAAAGTAAAGCGTAGCACTTACCTTTAGCTGATAAAAACAGAAAGTATGCATAGAGAATTCATAGTCTCAACTCCTGAGCAATCCAAAGTTCTGGAGCATCAAATTTTTCATCTCAAAAATGGTACACTTCACAAAATTAACACACCAAGTGTTCTATTGGAACACCAAGATCAGCTGTTATTTCTCTATATCCCTACAACTACAAACCACAACGACATGGAATTTCGAGCGATAGTGAAAGATCTCAACAGATCTTCATTCAGAATTAAATACATCATCATGTCATCTCTATGACTTGTGGCTTTCTTCTGTATGATCACAATTATCTGCAAACATTATATTCAAAAGAAAAATAATTTCAATGCCAAAGAATCAAATAATCAAACTCGAGGAATGAAGCCATGAGTCCTTCAAATAGACACTGAAGCCGGTCAGAGTTGTAAGACCAAAATTTAGAGCTTATCCTAGCCATTTTCCCTTTCTTTATCAACCTAATTTCCTAATTTGGTGAAGAAATCTGGCAACTAATATTTTCTAAAATTTATTAAGAGTTTTAATAAAGAAGCAGACTGATTATTTTGTACAATCAGCTGAATTATAAAATTGTGGCGTAATTTGATGAATTTGATAATTACTTAGTAAATTTTAACAAAAATTTAGCAACTTTCCTTAAAGAAACAGGAGATCTAGCCACCACGATTAGTCCTCCGAAGGGACTGAAAAGAAAAGACAATGGATGGTGTGGAGAGCCTATATTTTATAGTCCAGAATAGAGATATTTCAATACTTTTACTGCACTTATGTATCAAAATCTGGCTTCTTTACTCAGAATTGAGACCCTCCCAACTGGGGTTTTGGGGTTTTGGGGTTTTGGGG